CACCCTCTGCATCCCCCTAGAGGGCTAGAGAGTGGTTCCCTGGCCCCTGGGATAACCTTCTGCAGCTGCCCAAGAGGAAAGGTAACTCTCGGTATTGACTTTCTTTGCCCAGAAACCTGTGGCCAGGCCACCCTCTCCTTGTTTGGGGCAGGGAAGGAGCTGGGATGGTGAAGGGAGGTAGACTTTGCTTGAATTGTTAAAACTTTGTAACGTCGAGCAAGCTGAGCAACGTCCCTGGGCCTCAGTTGTCCATCTATCCAAGGGAAATACCCAGAAAGGGGAAAGAGAAATCATAACCAGCCTAAGTGAGGGGAGGGAGTTTGCTTCTGAATCCGTTTAATAGCTGATGAAGGTCTGAATGGTGAGCCGTGGGGGTTGTAAGTGGATTATATGCATGTAAGTGTTAGGAGGTCCCGATAATAAGCGGCTAACATTTATGTAGTATTTCCTAGGTGCCAGGCACTGTCCGAGCACTTCTCATGTATTTGCTTACATCCTGCGATTCTCAGGCCAAGCCTAGGAGATGTTTTTATCCTTCCTACAGACGAAGGCACCAAGGCACAGACAAATGAGGTCATATTTACACACAGCTACTCAGTGGTTCGAGCCCAGGCTCTGGGGCTCCAGCTCACCCTCTTTTGCTTTTGTTCTGAACATCTGCAGTGGCTTCTCTTTCTCCTCTCCTTGGGGACCCAGGGTGCCTGCCTGCTGGGCATGGCTGTGCCCCGAGGCTGGGCAAGGATCCGGGGTGGGGGCGGGAGGACACCTGGAAGTGGGGAGGCTGAGGGCTGGGCATGAGCAGGAACCAAGAATCCGAAGCGTGGAGCCGGTGGGGTGGTGGGGAGAGATGGCAGCCCCGCCAATGGGGACTCCTGTTTCTGTGGCCCACCTGCCCCCTCCCTGGTGCCCTGCCAAAGGCCTGGTCCACACAGCTGCCCCGAGCCTGGGGTCAGCAAGGCTTGCCCGCCCACGCATGAACGGGTCAGATGCCTCTCCCAGCCCTGGCCACTGTGTGGCTCAAGCCCTTGTCGTCTGGGGCTCTAAGGAAAAATGGGATTCCCATCTCTGAGCCCCTCCAGTCTGTGTGGTACGTGTGCACGTTTGCAGAGTTGCCCCACCCTTGTCAGGGTGGAGACTGGAGAAAGTGATTCCAGGCTGAATGCCAGGCCTCTCCAGTCAACAGATGTTTCCTGAGCCCCTACTGTATGCTGGGCACTGCTGGGTGCTAGGCATCTCTGGGGCATGAGACAGTAAGCTCATCCTCCTGGCATCTGTGGCCAAAGGCTTGCCTTCCCCCCCACCCCCCACTCCCCACCCCCGGCCTCCTTCCAACAGCCACCACCGTGGGTCACTTGGATTCCTCAGCTCTGTGGAGGCCTGGGACAGTCTCCACTGTGGTCGTTAATCCCAGCTCGGTCACTTGGGAGCTATACTGCTTTGAGCAAGTTCTTTTTTTTTAAGATTTTATTTATTTGACAGAGAGAGACACAGCGAGAGAGGGAACACAAGCAGGGGGAGCGGGAGAGGGAGAAGCAGGCTCCCCGCGGAGCAGGGAGCCCGATGCGGGGCTCCATCCCAGGACCCTGGGACCATGAGCTGAGCCGAAGGCGGACACTTAACGACTGAGCCACCCAGGCGCCCCTGAGCAAGTTCTTTATCCTCTCTGGGTTTCAGTTCATTCACTCAGCCTGCAGGTATTTATTGAGCACCTACTATGTGCAGCCTACACTGTAGCAGGGGCGACAGACCATGGACGACACCCTTAATAAGCACCACATTGTCAATTGTGTTAGGAGGTGAGGGGGAGAGCCATGCGGGTGTCGGGGGGGTGAGCGCTGCAGGGAGGGTGCACAGCCAAGGGCAGAGTCCCTAGGTGGGAGCAAGCCTGGCATGGGGGAGACCCAGAAAGGAGGCCAGGGTGGTTGAGACACTCACTTTAGCAGTGGGGGGAGAGAGCACCAATAAAACAGCATGTTAGGTGGTCAGAAGTGCGAAGGAGAAAACTGGCTTCCTCGGTGAGAAGACAATAATCATGGCCCCCCAGGGTTGCTGGCCCTGCCAGCCCGGGGTCAGGCCCAGTGAACAGGAGTCACTGCCTGGTTGTCCTGTGATCGTTTGTGTGTGATTTGTCTCCAAGACCAGGGGCCATGTCCTACCCCTCGAGCCCAACGTGCCTGGCTCCCCACAGGGGGTTGCTACCTGTTGGGGACAGACTCTGGCTGGTGCAGGATTTCTGGTCGACCAGAAGGCAGGAGCTGGGAGGGCCCCCAGGACTCTTGCCAGAGGTTCCCAGATGTTGGGCCTTGCCTGGAGCCTTGTGCCTCCCCTGAGAAGGTTTTCCAGTTCCCGAAATGGTAAAGCAGAGGGAACACGGGGGGCGAGGCAGTGAACCGAACATAGGCTAAATGGATTCCATTTAAAAATGATGAACTTCCCACTTTTATGAAATGTCCTTTTTTTAAAAGATTTTATTTATGAGAGAGAGAGAGAGAGAGCAGGGTTGGGGGGAGCAGTGGGAGAGGTATGAGCTGACTCCATGCTGAGTGCAGAGCCCAACATGGGGCTCGATCTCAGGACCCCCAGATCATGACCTGAGCCGAAACCAAGAGTCGGACTCTGAACCGACCGTGCCACCCAGGCGCCCCCGAAATGTCCTTTTCTGAACTCGTGGCACCTCCCTCTATTTTTTACTTTTTGGGGAAACGTTTCCTTCTGCATTATCCCGAAGTCTGGGAACCACTGACTAGTTGTCCCTCTGCTGTGCAGATCATTGGACCTGTGACCCCAGGAGGTGCCTGGTTTGCTCGGGGCCACACACAAGAGTTAATTGTCCTACTTTGGGTCAGAGAATGGGGCGGGGCTGGGGTGGGGGGCGCTACGAGAGGGAGCCCAGATGAAGAGAAGTCCTGGACAGAGCCAGCCAGGAGGAGGGTAGCCCAGCTCCGGCTAAGTGGGGGCGGGACCCAGCGCGGCACCTGGTAATGAGATCCGATGTGAAGCTGTGGCCGATCCACACCGTGGGCGCTGGGGTTGCCCTCTGCTAGGCTGCTAGAGGCCTGGACCCTGGAGTCCAACACTCAGGTTCCAAACCAAGCCTGTGCCTTCCTAGCTATAGGGACTTCACACATGTCATCTAACCTCCGGCCCTACCGTTCCCACCCTAACGAGACAGCACAGTGCCCTCCCAAAGCAGAAATCCTGCACCGGCCAGAGCTTGTCCGCAATAGGTACTGACCCCCTCTAGGGATCCAGGCACATTGGGCTCAAGGGGTAGAACAGAGCCCCCAGAACCAACGAGGGGAGCCACACTTGCGGGTGGATAGCTCCTTCTCTGTCGAAGGGGGTTGAGTTAATGTGGAAGAACGTGAACCCTCGAAGGGACCCTATTCTGCCTCACATTTAGTCATACCCGCTGCTTCTTGAGGGCTGACAACGAGACCTGGTACTAAGCGTTCACAGTGGGTTATCCCCGTTGAGGGGCAGGTGCCCGAGGAGATGGATACCCTTGTGCCCATTTCACAGCTAGTGAGGGGGGGACTGAGACCCAAACCCAGAGTACTTTATTATCAGTTATTCTCCGACTCATTCTCCTACATTAAAGCTCTTGGGGGTTTACACGGCAGACTGGAAGGTCTTGTGTCCCGGGAGATGCGTTAAGTACAGACTTGGTCACCGGTTAGTGGGAGATGGCAGCAGGAATCTAGAAACAGATGGAGTGGTGGCTCTAGATAACATTTAACATCATTTTAAACACGAGCTTCTTGTAATTTCACAATAAGGACCTTATTTCCCTGCTCTCACCTGCTCCCTTGATGCCTCGACCAGAGCCGTGTACCCTGTGGTCCCTCAAAAACAGTTGAAGGAGGGGGCGATGCCCATGTCCGGTCTGCTCAGTAATGGGGAAAGCGAGGTCCAGGGAAGAGAGGGAATTTGCAGAGTCCGGGGCTAGGGTGGGGACATAGCCCCTGCTTTCCCATCTGAATACAGGTTCTAGGGCGGCTTGATTAGCAACAAGGCAAGCAAGCTGCCTGGCACTGTGCCCAGCATAACAGGTGCTTACTAATTAGTGGTGTTTTGTTTTGAAGCCGGATGAATGCCTGCTATCTGCCCATCTTTAAGTGTCGGGGTTAGGGGTGCGGGCTCTGCAGGAGTCGGAGCCGAGGTGAAAGCTCTGCCTGGGTGAGCCTCAGTTCCCTCGTCTGTAAAATGGAAGTAATATAGAGCTACTTTGTGGGCCCACTGGGAGAGCCTAAGAGATCATGCGCGTTGGTGTTTCATTCTGGAGGCCATTGCTTGTGTCCCACACCCCTCCCCCTCCTGCACATCTTGTTCTGAAAGGCATCATTTGAGGGGAAGGTGGCCCTGTTTTACAGGTGAGGACATGGACAAGAACTATATACAATCCAAGCTCCCAAGCCATATACCATCATTTTCTGGCTAGAGCAAAGACTAACAACGCAGTAAGCTGCTGTTTATTGAGCACTTGCTTTATGCCAAGAGTCACACGTACACCCTCCTTGGAGTCTCTTAAAACTTGAGAAGTAGCTGTGATGACTGTACCCATTTGTCAGATAAAACAATAGAGATCGAGGGAGGAATTAATAAGCTAGGGTCATACACTTAAGAAGTTAAGGCTGGAAACCCGGCAGCTTGTGTTTGGGGCTAACAGCTTCATGGATCTTGGAGCCGGGGTGCCCTGGGGGAGGAGGCCCAGGTGCCTACACTGGTAATTCAGAGGCTGGCTGAAGGTGTTTAGGGCAGAGCCTCCGGGGCCCCACCCTGGGCTGCCAAGCGTACTTCCTGCCCACGGGGCAGATTCCTGCCTCTAGGGATCTGCCTCTAGGGATTGACAGGGAGCCAGGACAAACACTGGAGCCTCCTGCCCTCCCCGGCCAAGGCCGGCCACCTGGCATGGGAGCAGACACTGGGACCATGGGCCTACATGTCAGCAAGCTCTGCCTGCTGACCCGGGGCTCAGTGCTGTACTTTCACCTTCGAAGGAGTTTCTCTGTGACCAGAAGTACAGCGATGAAGAGACCCTGCCGGAGAAGCTCGCCGCCTTCAAAGGTAAGCTGGGGCTGTCTGCGCCACCCTCCCGGGAGAGCTGGGCTGGCCCCCTGGCGCACAGGATTTCTTACCCCACAAGGCCAGCCTGCGCCCCCTGCTTCTTCCAGAACGCCCTCCTCCTGGAAGGCTGTGAGATGGGGTGCCCACCCCTCTACCTGCCTCCATGCAACCCCAGGCCCCTCACCCTTGCCCGCAGCCTCCCCCGGCCCCAATCCCTCCGGCTGCCAGGCAGGCAGGGCTCAGGCTGGCTCCTGTCCGCTGCTGCCCAGGCCCTGCTCGCTCCTGGGGCCCCAGCACACAATCAGCCCTTTGTAGCAGCCCTGGCCTCTCCCCTCCGCGGGGGAGCGGCTCGGGAGCCCCTGTGCAGAATGGACGTTTGTGTCGCCACAGTGGGGCAGGGGGCAGAGTTTCTGCCCATTGAATCCCAGCAGCACAGGATGAAAAGAAAACAGGGCCCAGGAGCCCGCGCGGGGAGGGGGCGGCATAAAGGTCCCTCTGTTCCGGGCCCCGGCGCTTGGTTCCCAGCCAGCCGCCCGAAAGGAGAGGAGCCGTGCACATAAGGAGCAGGGCAGACCCACCTTTCCTGCCTGGGAGATGCTCTCGGCGGGCAGGGAGCCCTGGCCACTGGAGGACCTCGACGAATATCCTCCGGGCCACATCCCCCCTCCCCCACGAATATCTTCGAGGCCGCATCCCCCCTCCCCCAAGTCTTGGCGATGTGGACATCCTCCCTGCTCCGAGGCAAAGAGCCTGCCAAGTGCTCCTCAAGCTGTTCACAGCTTCCTTGTCCTTAGGCAGGACCCTGATGGCGAAGCCTTTGTTGAGTGTTGACCTTGTGGGAAGCACTTCGAAAGCTGTTTGTGAGCTCCCCGGGTCATCCCAAGTCAGCCAGGAGGGAGGTGGGTACGAGCTTTAATTTACAGTTGAAGAAACTCAGGCTCAGAGAGGTGGGGTCACTTGTATGGGGTCACACAGCCTGCCCATGGCAGAGTTCAGGCTTGATCACGTGTTGGTCTCTCTCCAAAATCCCCTGCTCTGAACCATTACCCAGTGGGGCTGTTTACACTAACAAAAAGAGGAACTAGAACAAAGACATCCCCGTCCCTGCCCCGTTCCACCAACCCGTCCCGCCACCCCCGGGAGAGCCACGCAAAGCAGGAGCGGTCCATTCCCTTATCCCTGGGTACCAAGGAGGGGGGGTCCCTCTCCAGAGGTGGCTCTGGGAGGAGGGACAGAGCTCTTCTCTCCTTGTCTTCACTGGGACCTCGGCTTGGGTCCATCGGGGTGGACTGGAACCACGGGAACTTAGCTTGGAATCAAAGGGACTGTAAAGGTTTTCAACTCACTCATTTGACCTCCAAATGAGCACCTCCTACGTGCCAGCCCCACTTCAGGCCTGGGGTGCAATGGGGCACAGAGAGCCCTGAGTAAAGGAGCTTATGTGCTGCAGGGAAGGGAGTGGGGAACAGAAGGACGCTGCAGAGCACACAGATGGCCGTAGGGGCTTTGTGGGGGTGGCAGTGCCCCACCAGAAAGGCTGGGGAGCCCTGAAAGCATGAGCGGGGGCCCGGAGAATACCTGGGAGGAACATCTAGGCCGAGGGGCAGCACTCCCCGGCAGGAGTGCGGCAGGGAGGGGGTGGTGGGGTGGGTGCGGTGGAGGCATGGGCCAGGAGCAGCAAGACCAGCTGGAGTGGAGCAGAGGTGAGGGAGGAAGACGCAGCCCGAGAGGCTGGAGGGCAGACCCTCAGGAAGGTCACAGGGACCACTCCGGCCACTGGGAAGACCTTGGCCTTCTCATACTGGCTGTTCAGTGCAGACTAGACCAAGAGGACCCTGTTTTTCTGTGGTGTGTGGGGGGGGGCTGGGGACCTGCCCAGGGCCACGTGCTGTCCTTGTCAGAGGATACCAAGCTCATTGCTCCACCTCTCCTCCCTCACTGTTGGAGATTTCCTGGACCCTTTGATCAGAGAGGCGTCACTCAAGGTCTGTAGGTGAGGTTTGATGGGGAGGGTCTGCGTACCCCTGGACACTGTATGTGCCACCTGGGTCAAGGGCAGGTTCACGGCATTTCTCTCAGGAGAGCATCAGATTCTCAGTGGTGCCCACACACACCCCTCCCCCGCCGCCAGAGGTTCAGAACCGCAGGGACTCCTTAAATCGGTGATTCCCACACCCGGCTCAGAATCACCTGAGACACTCTAGAACATACCGGTTCCTGCCCCCACCCCACCCCACCCTTCCCAAAGCCACTGCACCCGTAGTTCAGGGCCTGGGAATCTGTTCTAGTCAGTTTGGAGCCAGTGTGATGCAGCGAGCTCACGCTGGTGGGGACCTGGGAGGAAGTAGCTGCCCTCCTCAGCAGAGAGTCACAACGGCCCCTAGCACCTTGTTCCATGGCGCCCGTGGGAGAGGGGTGCAGGCAGGGCGAGCTCTTTCTCCAGAGACAATGGCTGAGATAATGGGTCTCATGTCAAGACCCCCAAGTGAGGGGGTGAGGAGGATGGTGTGGGCTCCCTGGGGACCCAGCCAGTTGCCCTCAAGGGCGTCTCTGGGACCCTGCTTCTGAGCTAACTCCGGTTTTTGCTCTGTGATTTCCAGAGAAGTACATGGAGTTTGACCTGAACAATGAGGGCGAGATTGGTAAGTGAGGCCTCGACTGCCGGGGAGGGGGGTGTCCGGTGGGTGGAGGGTATGAGGGTCCAAAGAGCCCCACTGGGCCCGCCTGTGTGGGTGAGGGGCACGCACTGAAGCTTCCCTGATGGGCCAAGCCGGCGTGCCGGCCTTAAGCCTGGCTGCCTTCTACCCTGGATCCACTGCGCCCAGACTCCTCTCCTCACTGCGTCCCTCCCACTCACCTCCCTGCGCATGTCTCAGCCCTCCGCGCCAGGTGCCACGGGGACTCAGGATAGAGAGGGTGCCACCCCTGCCCAGGGTTGGAGACGCTCAGGCTCTTGCCGCCCTGGCCCTGGGGGTGGGGTGGGGCTGGCGGTTCCTTTGTCCTTGCATTTGGTTACCGTGCTTCTGAGCACATTGTTTCCCTCTTCCAGCAGACCCTGATAGTATCGTGTGGTCCAGGCGTGGGGGGTGACAAACGCCTGTCCCTTGGCCCTTAGGGCCAAGACTATACCTTGACCTTCACAAGTAATGCTATAACATGGTCAAGGCCGGCTTAATCATCCCCATTTTACAGCCGAGGAAGCCGAGGCTCGGCAGGGTGAACTTGACTCTCTTGGGGCACATGGTGGTTAAGTGGTCGGCCCAGGGTCCAGATCCCAGCCTTTGGTTCCCAAACTGGCTTTCCCTCCTGTGTTTTGCCCTGAGCTCAGTGTTGCCGCTTCTGCGGCATTTCTACCCCTCCTCTGTCTTGTCTCCTTCTTCTCCTTTTTAAATATTTTTATCCTTGCTTTCCTTTAGGGAAAAAAAAAAAAATGGGGTTATCAAGTCAATACATCTTCATCATAAAAACTTTTGGAAAACACAGTAAAGCACAAAGACAAAAATAAGTCAACCACAGTCCTCCCTCCCAGAAATAACTGCTCTGAACATTTTGGTTTATATCCTTCCACCCTTTGTTCTAATCACAAATGCTGTTTTATAACCATTTTAGAAACTCCTTTTTAAAAAATAATATATTGTGAGTGCTTTGACATGTGATTAACTTTTCTTGTGAAATATAATTAATGGCTGGGTAATATTCCACTGCGGGGCTGGACTATAACTTATTTAGCCAGTGCCTTAATATCACGCAATTAGACAGTTCCAATTTTAACTACTTTTGATAGTCCTGTGAAGAGCATCTTTGTACATGAACCTTTGTCCACATCGCCAATTATTTCTTTAGAGTAAATCTCAGGAATTAGACATTCTGGGTCAAAGGCTTTTGAAGCATCTTTGCCAAATTGCCTTCCAGAAAGGTCTTGCCAATTTCGAGCCTGGCCAGCAGCATGTGGGAGACCGCTCCCTCTTCCCCACAGAGCGATGCCTAGTTTTCTTTGAAATGCCCTGGACATCCTGGCACCTACCTGGGGGTCTGGCATCAGTTCTGCCCGCCCTGCTCTCGGGTGAGCTGTCTCGCCACACCCCTGGCCCAAAAATCGGCCCCCAGTCCCGCCTCCCTCCCGCCATCCTTTGCCGGCCCAATTGTTCACAGAACAATCTGAAGGAAATTGCCTAAGATCTGGGGAGCCGGGGGGTCAGAGGCAGCGATTCTGCGGAGTGTAGTGACTTTTTGGTGCCTCCCTTGTTTTCCTTGAATTTTGTTCCTTTGTTGGTTTTCCTGCTCTGCAGGGTATTTTTGGCCCCCTCGCCCTGCCAGCGGAGGCGGAACCCTCGGACTGCTGGGTGGGAGTGGCAGGTGGAGAGAAGCTGCTGCCCGGCACCCTGCAGGATGACCTGCCCTGCCTCGGGTCAAGCCAACTCCCTGACCCCACCTTGCTGGGCAGTGACTCCCCAGGGAGCTGGAGCAGTGAGCACACACTCACCCCGACCTCAGGGCGCAGCAGACATTAACAGAGTGAAGAGTAGCGGCCCCGTTACTAAACACCTGCTTTGTGCTGGGTACTTCTGCATCGCGCCCTCTCAAATGATCCCGTCAACCCATTTTACCGCTTATGGGAGCAGAATCTCAGAGAGGTTAAGTAGTTTGCCCCAGGTCCCGCAGACGGGAAGAGCAGAGTTGGATTGCAACCCAGGTCCATGTCCCTAACCACTAGTCTATACTACTCTCTGAAGGGAGCAGGGAGGGTGTGATGGGCCCATTCTCTCTGGAGGAGAAAGGCCTTTGGCTGCAGTCCCCAGGGAGGGGCTGTGCTGCAGGGCTTCTCCTGGACGTGGGAGCCAGGGGAGCTCTACCAGCTTCCTCGCTTGGCCCGCACCCTGTCTCCAATTAATGGATCTGCTTTTCCTCTGGCAGACCTGATGTCTTTAAAGAGGATGATGGAGAAGCTCGGGGTCCCCAAGACCCACCTGGAGATGAAAAAGATGATCTCAGAGGTGACAGGTGGGGTCAGCGACACCATCTCCTACCGAGACTTTGTGAACATGATGCTGGGGAAGCGGTCGGCTGTCCTCAAGCTGTGAGTACCTCCCGCCTCTCCTGGGGCCTCTGAAGGCAAAGTCATTGTGCGTGGAGAGGCCATGCCCCAGCCAGCGGGCAACGCCTCGTGTGACCTGCTGGACGAGGTTCTTGATTTCTCTGAACCCAGTTTCCTTATCTGTCAAATGGTCACGTTAATACATACCCAGAACTTCCGGTAGAATGAGCACTCAGGAAGCAGAACAATGGTGGTGATGATAAATCTACCTTGAGGGGCGCCTGGGTGGCTCAGTCGGTTAAGCATCTGCCTTCAGCTCAGGTCATGATCCCAGGGTCCTGGGATTGAGCCCCACAGTGGGCTCCCTGCTCAGTTTAGAGCCTGCTTCTCCCTCTCCCTCTGCTCCTCTTCCCTGCTTGTGTGCTCTCTCTCTCTCTCTCAAATAAATAAATCCAATCTTAAAAATAAATCTACCGTGAAACCTTCTGAGCCTGGGTTTCCTCATTTGTAAAGTGATTCCACTACCCCACGGGGTTGTTGAGAGCATAACGTAGTTATCAACTGGCTCTGAAAGGAGGCAGAGTTCAAATCCTGATGCCGTTACCGGCCCCCTAACCGAGCCTGGGCAAATCCCCTTAGGTCCCTGAGCCTTAGTTTCTTGGTTTGTAAGCGAGATCAGATGATATCACGTGTCTTGTTGAAGTGTCCTGAGGGCTAATGACCTAACGCACATGAAGGCCCCAGCCCAGTACCTGGCTCTTGGCAAACACCTAGTATGTGGTGGCCAAAATCACACTTCCCAGGTCCTGCCCCCGCTGCAGAGACTCCCTGGAGAGTCTCTGGTAGGAAGGTAAAATCTACCTACCTCATTTGTTACAAAGGGGGAAGTCGAGGCCCAAGGAAGCTGAGGAACTGCTCATGAGCCCACAGTTCAGGCTACCGAGCTTTTAGTGTGAGGTGGGATGGGGCAAGAGGTACGGTGGGAAAACCATCAAGGTCAGACCTCAGTGCACCTGGGATGCCGGATGACACAGGTGGCAGCAACAGGAGTGTGTTGATGCTCTTAGAAAACACCTACGATTTAGTGCATTTACCGTGTGGCAGTCAGGCACTGGTCTACCCAGTGACTCCTTAGATGTATCATTTATTAATTCAGCACGTATTTCTTGAGCACCAACTATGGACCAGGAATTATTTTAGGTGCTTTGGGGACACATCAGTTGCTGGCCTCATGGAGCTTACATCCTCATGGCAAGAGACAGACAAAAACAAAATAAAAAACCCAAAAAACTAAAATGCCAGATTGCAATGGTGTAGTACAAAGAAAAACAAAGTGGACAAGAGGAACAGAGGGGGATGGGATAGTGGGCAGGGAGGAGGTCATTGAGAAGGCAAGACTTGACCAGAGCCCTGAGGGAGGGAGATGTAAAGAGAATAGCCCTGCGAAGATCCTGGGAAAAGCATTCCAGGCAGAGGAAGCAGCAAGTGCAAAGGCCCTGAGGCAGACTGTGCTTGTATGCTCAAAGGAATAGCACAAAAGCTAGTGTGTCTGGCCATCAGTGAGTGCAGTGAGTGAAGGATGAGTTTGCAGAGACGGGCCGGGGCTAGGTGACACGGGGCCTGGTAGGTCATGGTCCCACTTAGCATTTGGCACTAATATGGAGGAATGCCATTGGACGACTCTAAGCTCGGGGCTGACTTTTAAAAGCCTCTGGCTGCGGCAGGGGTGAGAGTGGCAGCAGGGAGGCTGTTCAGGCAAGAGATGAGGCCACTCGGCCTGGAGAAGGGGCAGTGAAGGTAGGCAGAAGCTGCTGGAACCGGGAATGATTTGGGAGACGGAGCTGGAAGCCTTGCTTCAATGGCCAGGTACGGAGTGTGACGGACAGCAAGGAGTCAGATGATCCTGGTCTGTTTGGGATGAGTGACATTGCTGTTTGCTTTAGGGGAAGAATTAGCAGTTGAGTTTTTGATGGATTAAGTTAGAAGTGTCCTTTAGACATCCAAGGGGAGAGGTCAAGGAGGGCCTGGATGTGCCGATCAGCTCGGAGGTAAGCTGCTTGTGGACTGTCGCCCTTTGGAGGGGATTTATAGCCAGGGGACAGAAAGAGCCCACCCAAGGAGTGCCTACAGGAGGCGTGGGGTACTTGAAACAGCTCTAGGGTGTTGGCACTTTGGGCATCCTTACTTCCAGATGGGAACACTGAGCATCAGTGGGGTCGAGTGTCTTGCTTGAGTCACCAACTGGGAAATAGTGGGGCTGGGATTCATATCGGGCTGTTTCCCTCCAGAGGCTCCATCCAAACCTCTATCCTCTACTTCCCAGATGCTACTTTTTTTTTTTTTAATTCTTTTTTTTTAAGATTTTTTTTTTTATTTATTCATGAGAGACAGAGACAGAGACAGAGAGAGGCAGAGGGAGAAGCAGACTCCCTGCTGAGCAGGGAGCCCGATGCGGGACTCCATCCCAGGACTCCGGGATCATGACCTGAGCCGAAGGCAGACGCTTAACCATCTGAGCCACCCAGGCGCCCCCCAGATGCTACTTTTTTTGAGAGAGAGAGTGGTGGGGGGGGGTGGTGAGGGAGAGGGAGAGAGAGAATCTTAAACAGACTCCATGCCCAGAGTGGAACCTGATTTGGGGCTTGATCTCATGACCCTGAGATCAGAACCTGAGCCAAAATCAAGAGTTGGACGCTTAACCGACTGAGCCACCCGGGGGGCCCCAGATGTTACTCTTAAAACCTCGGGAAGTTTTTGAAGATCTGAAGGGGTTTTGAGCAGAGCCATGGCCCAGCCTAGCTCTGCCTCCTTCAGGCAACGTGGTTAGGGGAAGACCCATGACCTAGAATATAGAGATCTTTGTACCTCAGTTTTCTGTTCTGTGAAATGGGACTAGCAGCCCCTTCCACGCTGAGCAGATCCCACTGGAGAATGGATGCAAGGGCATTCGGCTGAGGGCCCTGCAGACAGGAGGGCTGAGATGATCTCTCCCTGGCTGAGGGAAGGAGTCCTAATCCTGCCTTGTTTTTTTTTTTTTTTTTAAACCTCCGTCTCCAAACCAGAGTCATGATGTTTGAAGGAAAAGCCAATGAGAGCAGCCCCAAGCCAGTTGGCCCCCCTCCAGAGAGAGACATTGCCAGCCTGCCCTGAGGACCCCCGTCTGGACCTGCCCCCGCTCCTGCTTCCTGATCTTGCCGCCCTTCTTGATTCATTGTGATTTGTCTTATTTGTTTTGTCTGGTCATTATGCGTTTGTTTCATTTTCAACCAGCAAAATCAGTGATATCTTTGTAAAGCACAAATTACCTGCCTTAAAGGGGCTCTGGGCCAGGGAATTCTGAGCCTTGGGGACCCTCCCTCTTGTCTCCCCTCCTTCCCCCTTCCCTGTGCAGAAGGGCTGACATCAAACCAAAGCCAGGAGGGGGCAGCCTGGACGGGGAGACTGAAGGCTGTGATCCTCATGCTTGGAACTGGCAGAGTCCGGCCTTCCAGGGTCCCTGAGCTAAGTCCAGGCTTGCTGGCCTGGCCCTGGTCAGGACCACAGCCCACTCACAGAAGACCCTGGAGTGGGAACCAGGCTTTTCTCAGACAGCTCTGTGGTTCCCTGCTCTTGAGTCGTCTAGGGCGTGACCACCCAGTGTCTCACCTCCCCCGCTGGCCCCCTCCCCCAGTCCACTCTTCTCATCCTCAGGGAGGTGACAGAAGGAGAGACGGAGAGGGGCTTGGTGATCTGAGCCCTTTAAGAAGGTTCCAGAAGGAATCCTCTGGCCTTCCCCGCAGCCACACCTTTACAGGCAGCTTGGAGGGAAAGTGCAGCCCCCGTGTCCTTTGCTGGGGCAGCAAAGGGCTTTGGGAGTAGAAGGGAGGCGAGGGGCCTTGGGAGGGGTGTCTGTTCGGTCTGGTGCCACCTTTTGGGGAGGATGCTGAGGACAACAGGATAGGAGGAGGAATAGAATGCTCGTGGCAAACGGTCAGCACCACTAATAAGCCAAGAGCTGAGAAACAGAAGGTGGCCTTTCTGATCCCAATCTGCTTGAAACCTGACTGTGCTCCCCCTATTTGCCTTGCCATCTTACTCCATTCATTCATTCATTCATTCACTCACTCACTCAGTCATTCAATGGATATTTATTGACCACCTATTATAAGCTTTAAGTCCCCCCACTTTGTCCTGACATGTGCCTTGCCCTCAACTCCTAATCTCCATTTCCAATCACCCAAAACCTTGAGCTTGGGGATCGGATTGGGCTCCCTTATGATGGACTCCCAAGGTTTGAGAGCCCTGATCCACTCTCTAGGTTAGCTAGACCGGTCCTCTCATTTCACAGGTGGGAAAACTGGTGCTTACAAGGATTAAGTGCCTTGCCAAGGGGTTAATCGGGAGACAGAAGTCTGGACTGGAACCCAGCTGTCCAGATGCCATGCCCGTCCTCATTGCTAGTCTGGGCTCAGTGATGAAAATGGGAGAAGGAATGGGGAGGGGCAATCTCCCAGGTCAGTACGTGGGGGAGGCCCTGGGCCAGGACTCACCCTTCCCAGTGCCTCCATGTCAGCACCAGGGGGTTTGGGTATGGGCCTGGCTGCTTCTGCAGTTCTGCCTTCCCTAGAGCTTCTCCGCCAAGCCACTTCTCAGAACTCAAGCAGGAAGGTGTCCCACTCAGCCCCATCTTGGCTGAGCAGGGACCCCAGCCTTGACCCCATCTGTGTTCTGGAGTCCCTTACCCTGCCCACTCGGGACTTAGAGGCACTCATCCATTGAATCTATTTATGAAGCACCTGCTATGGGCCAAGAGCTAAGAACCAGGCAGTAAAATGGACAGACTCGTGGAATTTAGTCTAGTGGGGAAGTCAGAACCAGACAACGATCAGTGAGATGGATGTTAAGAAAGAGGGGACTGTAGGGTGACTGCACTGCAACCCTGGGCCCAAGACTGAGCAAGAATCTTGGAGAAGCCCTCGTCAAAACGTTAAATGGAAACGTCAGGTTGCTGTTGGAGGTGGGAGTCAGTGTGGGCTGCCTGTGGCTCCTTAGTGACCCCATAATCAAGGGCCTAAGGAGCTCCCTTGCAGCAGCTTGGGAGGGAATGGAGCAGGTAGGGCATGGGGAATTGCCAAGGTTGGGTTAATCCACTGGTCTCAACCAGTTCAGGAACAAGATTATTTGGCCATGACTGGCTGATCTTCAGCCTAAGGAGCAGCTTCAAATGCACAAACCTAGTTGAAGTTTAAACCCCAGCAAAACAGTTCTCCCTGTAAATGTAAAATCTCACCCCAGCACCTCCTCTGCCTCTCCCTCCCCCCGCCCAGATCATTAGATCAACAACTGCCTGCCCCCCACCCCTTACCACTGGCCTCTCTTCTCTGGGACAGGCTGAGACCTTTGAGCAGGGTAATACCTTCTTTAACTACCCATTATAGTCAGTGTACCTGTTCTTCACTCAGAAAGGAGGGCAGAAGCAACCAGGCTTATTTCAACAGGTTTCACCGCTTGCAAGACTGTAGGAAGCCTCCTTTAAGGGAGGTGGATAAGTGGGTGTGTCCCCAGCTTCTGGAAAGGGCGGGAAAGAGAGTTCTCTCATTGGAAAGGGGGGGGGTGTCCTGGGAAACACCACCAGCCCCCCCACCATTTACTAGAACTCACTTCCGGGAGGGACAGGGGCTCAAAAGTGGTCCCTGGAAAGGGGGCGTGGTCTGCGCGTATTTCAGTTTGTGGCTATTGGCTCTGGGACTGACCTCTCTGGCTAAGGGCTCAGCTTCTTAGAACTTCAGCTGTCTTCTTTCTGAAAGACCAAATCTAATGTAACCAGCAACTCGGGGACTGCCAAGTATGGTTTTGTCCCTGTGACTCAAAAGGAAGTTTGCCGGGCACCTTCAGGTGGATAAGTGTGCATGTGCGTGCGTGCGTGTGTGTGTGGCGCGCCAGATGTCATCTCTACAGACTAGAAATAAAACAAACTTATCAATGTCTTGACTTGTGTATTTTGGGGACAGTTCCTAGACTCAGCAAATTCAGAAAAGATAGCTGATATAGTAACAGCTCTAATGAATGTGTCCTGTGTGCCAGGTTCTGTTAAATACTGGACTTCATTTACTCCTCACAATAGCCCTATGAGGCTGGTTCTATTATGTTATCCTTATTTAAAAAATGAGAAACGGGGGTGCCTGGGTGGTTAAGCGTCTGCCTTTGGCTCAGATCATGATCTCAGGGTCCAAGGGGGGGAGCCCACGTCAGCGGGGAGTCTGCTTCTCCCTCTCCCTCCCCCATCATGCTCTCTCAAATAATTAAAAGCTTAAAAAAAAAATGAGAAGCAGGCTTGGAGCAAATAAGCAATTTGCTGAAAACCAAACAGTAAGTGGCAGAAAATACCCCCTGCCCCTCCAGTTAACCCACAGGCTCCAGATTAAGAATTTCTGTCCTAGAGCATTTATAATTTCAAGACAAACACCTGTACGGAAGACTGTCGTCAATCAACATATCCGGACAAGCTGAATTCTAATCCTGTCTTCACCACTTTGTGAGTGAGGGGCACTGGGGAACTGTCTCAACTTCTCATCAATTAAACGGCAACGATCAACCACCTTCAGTAACTAGGACGTCTTGGAGCTTAAATAAAACGTCTGAAAGTGTTTTTGCGCAGTGCCCGGGTTCTCGCCTGGGAAATGATTACCCTGAAAGGAGTAGACGAAGCTGATGTTGGTACCCTTTGCCCTGCCCCTTGAGCCTTCGCGCTTAGAGCCGAAGAGTCCTCCGAGGCCCCACCCACCCACTTTCAGAACCTCTGTTCCTCCTCGCTCCCCTCCAAAGCCTCTCTCAGGAGCTGCCCCCCTGGAGATGTTTGTCAGGTTCCTAACTCCTCTCATTCGGAGACCGTTAATAACCACGTACACCCTACTGTTCCTGCGGGGTTTCAGCGCCACAAAGCGCGCAGAGCGATCGAACGGGTACCGCACAACCAACCACACAACCCGACACACGCCTCCGGCCAGCTCTAGCGGCGACGCCGGGGGCGGGCTCTGGGCGCTTCAGGGCGCAGGCGCGTCGGCCCGGGGCTACGCCCCCTACCCGGCCAAAGGGAAGCGGTGGCCAGGAGAGCGCGCGACTTCAGATGGTCCCTCCCCCTCCTCCGACTACGCGGCGGCCCCGGGCGCGTGACATCACCAAAGCGCGCCGGAAATGCGGAGTCTGCTGCGCGCTGCCAGCGGTGAGGGAAGGAAGTTGGCCTCGGAGCGGCCTGGGCTGCGTGGGCAAGGCCGCGGGCGGCAGCGGCGGCTGCTTCGACCAACTGGGGGTGGCGCGATGGGAGACGAGATGGATGCCATGATCCCAGAGCGGGAGATGAAGGTCAGAGACTGGCCGGGGCCTCCCTCCCTTCCTTAGTCCCGGCGTTGCCTTGGAGCCCCGCTGAACGGCGCAGCGCCGGGGCCGGCTGTCCCACTTCCCGCCTCCTGCTTGAACAGTTTGCCGCGTTCAGAGTTCTCGCCGGCGCGTCCTGGTGTACTCTGCCGTGCCGCCGGCACGATAGCCCCGCCGAATGCAGTTTCTCCGTCCCTTCTCGGTCTTGTGCGCGCCACTTGAGTTTCCCTAGCTACTCTCATGTGGTGGTCGGAGTCGTGGTAATGATTACTGTTTATTGAGCGTTCACTGTGTGCCAGACACTGTGGTACTCATCACAGCGGCCCTATGAGTAGTTGTTAATAGAAGAGGCGCACAGTGAGGCGGGGGAAGTAGCTTCCCCAAAGTCACATTTGACGAAGGGGCTGAAATCTAGGTGGTGGTTTTTTTAAGACCCTCTCTTGTACGCTCTCACTGTACTACCTCTGTAAAAGGGTCCAGGCTTGCCTAACGCAGAGCCAGGGTTCATCACCTGTTCTACAAAACCTTTAGTTGAATGGAATAGGAGGACTATTTTGGTATTGGAAATCAGGGTAAAGTCAGGAAACAGAAGAGAGGGACAGGTGATCCAAATGACGGTTATGAGTAAGTTGCGGGAAGCTTTTAGGCGATTGAACCCGTCACTGAAATGCGTTTAGGGAGTAGTAATCCATCTCATATTTGTAGTGATTCTTCTTTGTCGAGAATGACGGGGTGGGGGGCGGGGGGAGTGGTGAGCCACCCAATGAGAGTGTGCCAATTTCTCCAGTTTGCTGGGGCAGAAGGGGGGGAAAAAAAGGGTTCAGAACCACAGACTTGGAAGATGACAGTCTCCCTTTGAGTTACTGATTATAACAGAAAGAAAGCTTTCCTGTGCCTGTTCATCCCACTGGCTCTCCACACCCCTGTGTCCATGACCCAAACAGGATATTTAGGATTATCAGGATGAGAATTACAGAAGTACTGAACATTTCATTCTGCTCCTGTATGTTTTCATCTGGAACGCTGTGGGTTTCTGGTCACCCTACTCATTTGGAACTTAGAAGAGTATTTCAGTTCATCTTTTAACACGTATGTGTAAAACACCAAATCTAAGGAAATTATTATGTGGGGTGTGTTAGGGATCCTGTACAAAACACCACAAGCGTACAAAAATGAAGGCTGAGAAAGGCTGTCTTTGGCTTTTACCCTTTGGGAATGTAAGCAAAAGGGGATTCACATTCTTTTTACTGAAACCTTGACTTAAGATAGATTTGGAATTGGAAGAATAAGATCAGCCTTATATGGTACAGTTTAATATAGTGATTGGTAAACTTAGGGAATTCTTACCAAGAGGTGGTACACACTGAAAATTGTCTTTGAAAGCATATAGATATATTCCTGGAAGACTGGGTGAGTCAGGCGTTGACAGGAGGCTGGGGAAGGCTCCTAGGCCCTGAAGTGCTAAGGAACGTGAACATTCAAGGAAACGGAAAGGAAACAGGTCTGGGTTGGAGGTGGCCCTGGGTGTTGCAGAGGTAATGGCGCACTTGTGGGAGGAAAGCAGAGTGTTGTGAGGTGAGGCTGTAGAGGCGGACACATCAAGCCGTGCCTGGCCTTATAGCCTAGGGCTTTGGACTTGTGTTTAGATGTCCTCATAGCATCTAGGTATGTTTACAGGTCTTGAATATTAAGAGATTGACCACACCTGTCCTTTTCTGTGATGGAATTTTGTTTAGTAGTTAATGCAGTTAAGCCAGTTCTTGGGATTTGGTTATTCTGTGGTCATTATTTCCGTGTGTGTGTGTGTGTGTGTGTGTGTGTATTTTTTGTTGTTGAGTACTGCACTGGAAGTTCAGACTAACAGTGTAGTTGGGTGATGCTTTCAATATATATATATTTTAAGATCTTATTTATTTACTTGTCAGAGAGAGAGGAGAGAGAGAGAGAGCAAGCACAAGCAGGAGGAGTGACAGGCAGAGGGAGAAGCAGGCTCCCCGCTGAGCAAGGAGCCCAATGTGGGATTTGATCCCCGGACCCTGGGATCATGACCTGAGCCAAAGGCAGTCGCTTAACCCACTGAGCCACTCAGGCGTCCTGTTGCTTTCAATATTTAACAACAGTTATTAAGCACCAGTCTGGGTCATGAGACAATACATACCATAAAATAGGATGAGATTAGGAGTTGAAGTGCAGCATGAAGTGCTGGTGGTTAGGACAATAAACTAGGAGTTCAGAAAAGGAAAAGGTCAATGTGAGCTGGATTAGTTAAGGAAGGCTTCATGAAAGAATTTTTAAAACTTTATTTCATTCAGTAAACATTAATAAGCCCTATGCTGGGGGGCTGCCTGGGTGGCTCAGTTGGTTAAGCGACTGCCTTCGGCTCAGGTCATGATCCTGGAGTCCCGGGATCGAGTCCCACATCGGGCTCCCTGCTCAGCGGGGAGTCTGCTTCTCCCTCTGACCCTCTTCCCTCTCGTGCTCTCTCTATCTCTCATTCTCTCTCTCTCAATAAATAAAATCTTAAAAAAAAAAATAAGCCCTATGCTAGGTACCATGATATGCACAGGAAGCTTAAAAAACACTGAGCCACACAGCCCTTGACCTCAGGGTAATATTTATTTTTGTTGCACTGGAATTAGGTCTATTGGAATATAATGACAGATATGATTTAATCTCTTTTCCTTGAACTGATCTTGGTTTCTTCCCTCAACAACAGGATTTTCAGTTTAGAGCACTGAAGAAGGTGAGAATCTTTGACTCGCCTGAGGAGTTGCCCAAGGAACGCTCGAGTCTACTTGCCGTGTCCAACAAGTATGGCCTGGTCTTTGCTGGTGGAGCCAGTGGGTTGCAGATTTTTCCTACCAAAAATCTTCTGATTCAAAATAAACCTGGTGACGATCCCAATAAGATAGGTAAGTTACTTAGTTTTGTTGCACGGTCGAGAGAGGAGTGTAGCAAAGTGTTAATGTAGTGTCCTTCCCAAGAAATCATTCTAGTATATAAATCAAAACTGCTGTTAGTCTTCACGTTGATCCCCAAGAAGAGTAAGTTCCAGGTAGGATGCTGGAAGCCTTTCTGTTTGTTCTCTTTGGTCCTTTTGGTGAGTTGTTCCTCTGAGCTCAGAAGGAAGAGGAATTGACCATTCTACCATGCTTTTATTTTTGCTCAGTTGAACCTAGGTTCTGGATCTCTAATTTGCATGGCATTTTAGTTCGCACAGTAGTACCATCCAAACAAATAGGAACATTGTTGCAAAAACATGGGTACAGGATATTAATTTTAACAATGGCAACAGCCACAGTTTCCCTAGGTCTTAGGAGGAAGAGTCTGGGAAATTTAATGCATCACTCTACATCTGTAAGAAAGCTGAGATTTATCTGCATGACCAGGTATCAAAGTGTGCTTGTATGTTTATGTAGATATGAAAATTGTTTCACACAGACCTGGATGCAGGGCTTGTGGCTTCTGCTTCTGCTTTGTCTTTTCTTATGTTTTCTTAGTTGATAAAGTTCAAAGCTTGCTGGTTCCTATGAAATTCCCGATACATCACCTGGCCCTGAGCTGTGATAACCTCACTCTCTCCGTGTGCATGATGTCCAGTGAATATGGTTCCATTATCG